TCGCTAGTCCCCCGCCGAGCAGCGGGCGGGGCCGAGCGCGGGCGGGGGCAGCCCTGGGGGTTTATTTTCATATCTCTATATCTATAGCTAAATAAAATATATTTTTTATTTTTATACATATATATATATATATATCTGGCTGGATTCCAGCTGTCACCTTGCTTTTGAAATGGCAATCGCCACGATAGGCAGTGATGCATTAAATATTCTGGTCCTTACATATCACCTTGCCAATGTCAATCTGGAGATGCATAGAAATCATATCACCTAATAAATATCGGACAATAAAACCACCCCCCAGGTTGATCTTTACCATCTGCCCTGTGGTAAGTTTTGGTGGAATCTCCTGTTATTAAGTTGAGGTTGAAATAATGCTCGGGAGGAGGCAGACGTTCAGTTTCCAGCCGAACACCTGAGGCTGGTGGTGGTGGAGGTCACAGAAGACACGGAACAGTAGCGCTCAGAAGAAAAAAATGGAGCCGGATTTATCTTGCCTGAGTTACGTTACCATTTAAATAATTAATTTTAATTATGTATCATTTAGTGCCATCCATTTCCTTAAATGTCTGAATTTTAATTCAGACAAAAGAAATTCTCCCGGAGTTCTTCAGTGTAAAGCAGCACAGAAGAGGGGTTTTACAGCCACACGGATAAACCACTAAGCGTCGGGTTTGTTAACGTAACGGCACTGGCCCATCGCTCACATTAGCCGCTGAACCCATTTCTGACACAAAACATGCTCTTTTCTCATACCCGCGCAGGAACGGATCAATGGGGTTTTGTTCTCAGTTCACTCAAGCCTTTCAAAATGCTGAAACAATGACAACAAAGCAAACAAACTGGAAAGAAATCCCTGAAAACTCCAACCTGTCCTGGAGGGGCTGATTTGGGTCGGCCCGTGCGCGCGCGTGTTTCGTGAGCGTGAGAACACGATCGCAGTAGGGATTATCGCATTGCTGTAATACCACTGAGCAGTATTTGAGCGTACTTTAAAACCAGACCGATGAGCTGATGTCACCAGGATCTATTCGATCAAGGCTTCTCGGTTGGTAACTGTGTAAGAGAGAAGAAATTTAAGCACTGAGATTCTTCTAGACCATATCCCTGTGTAACTAGGAAGAGCCAGTCATCTGTACTAGGACCTGGCAGATTAACTATGCAGTAGCCAGTTTCTTTTTTGGAGAGGAAGGGGGTAAGATATTTTCCTTTTACAAAATACTCGGTCTTGATGTTTTTATTTTGTTTTGTTTCGTACAGGCAACTTGACCGCAATTCTGATCCTGAACAATTCAAGTGGGGTTTTCTCCCAGAACAGTGCAAATTTCAAAAGCCACGGACTCCAGCGTGCCTCTGTTTGTAAGCAGAAATATGAAAAGTGTAGTCACAAATATCTCACAAAAACATACAATCCAGCTACATACTGCAGTTAAAATTACAACAGTAAAACAGAGCTGAGTGCCCCCATTAACAAAGAGCTTCATCAAATATTCAAAGATACAATCTGACTGCCTGTAAATGAGAAAGTAAGATTACATTTCCCCCACACTACTGAATATTTTCTAACTGTCTTCAAAAACATAAAAGCAATACAAAAAGGCTGTGAATCCCAGCAGCAAAGCGAGCACAACACAAGCCTATTTCCAAAGGCAAAGTAAACATGGTTAATGGAGTTATTTTCATCTCCGAGCAAACCAGCTCTCTTGCCATTTCGAAGCTGGACAAACCAGGCACACGCACCAGACCGCTTCGCGAAGGAAAGCTGCAAACCGCCGCAACGCTGCACCCGATTCGCTCGCTACCCAAGACTACGAAAGCTGCTGAGAGAGGCCACAAAGCTCCAGCCCCCCTTCCGCGGCTGCCCGCACAGGGACCCGCCCGGCCCGCGCAATTTTCCGCGCCCTGCGGTGGTTTCCGCGCCCCGGAGCTGTCCCCTCGCCGGGCGCCGGGGAATCCGGCCTTACTTCAGATCTCTCTCTGACTACATTGACTAGGTCAGGCAAGCCAGCAGTCCCGGACCAAGGGCAGTCCCAGCTAGATGTTCTCGATGGTGCAGGCTCGGACGCGGTTGGTGGAGAGGCATTTCAGAGCCTTGAGTTTAGCCCCCAGAGTTTTGGCTTTCAGGGTATATATTATGGGGTTTCCCAAACAGTTCATGGTTATCAGCATAGCCGTGCAGTTTCGAAAGATGTAGACGCCTGGGTAGAGATCAATGGGGCACTGATGGTTAGTTGCATCGAATATGACTCCTGCGAAAAAAGGAGCGTAGGAGATCAACGCCAGGAGCCAAATAAAAATACTGGTTCTGGCAACCTGGATTTCAGCTGATTTGTAGGTGCCAGTAGCTTGTCCACATGCTTTCATTCTTAGCTTTCTTTTCCTCAAGATGATAATGATTCTAAGGTAAGTGAACAGAGGTATAATAAAAGCCACCACAACATTGGGAATGGCGATGAAGATGAGGTAGTTGACGCAAAACGGACTGTAGAGGACAGAGAGATTTTTTTCCGTGCTCAAGCAGTTCCACCCCATCAATGGCAAGCAGCCCAAAAAGAAAGCAAGGACCCAGTTAATTAAAACTGCAGCTATGGAATGTTTTCTAGCAACCCTGAATCTTGTCCTCATGCTTGCAGCCACAGCCAGATAGCGTTCAATTCCAATGCTTACCAAGTTATAGATGGTGGATAAAATAGACATAGTATATAAGGCATAAGGTGCAAGCATATCCTTGGATCCAAAGATGGTAATGTCAGGATTGGTGATGAACAGCATTGAAATCCAAAAGCCAGAAAAGCTGGTGAAGAGATCAGAAAAAGCCAAATTACAGAAGAGTACAGAGATAGGCTTGTGCAGATCCTTTGTCGCCAGTCTGGTGAAGATGACTGTGCAGTTGAAGATCACAGATGCTATGTTAATGGTCAGTTGAGGGATGCCCAGGGCAAGTACTAAATATTGACTCCAAATTTTAGTGTGGTTAGTAGAGCAGTTTGGGTATCCATTCATGGTGGAAAATCCTACTTTCAACCGTGAACAAGGTCTGCTTTACTCATCCCATATTCCGTAAGAGACCATACTACATGAGTGTTGCTGCCACCTTGTTCTCCAGGCGAAGAATGAATCCGGCCACACAGCTTCTATTACCACATCATCACCATGACAGTGGATTAAACTTTAACCACTCGTGTTTTTAAATATTTGGGTTACCAACTCGGGGCATAGCCAATTACCTTTAAGTTGCTAGGATAGCCAAAAGTGGAAAACATATTTTCTACTATACAGACGATCTGCCTAAAGCAACCTTTATCAAGAGCAAAATCTGGCCGGTTCTTGTGAAGATGAATGATCACATCAGTAGTTTAAAAATCTTTAAGGATATTCTAAAATGGAATGAATGTGAATTCAGCTTTAATTCACAAATAAATTAGGTGGATAAGGGATTAGAGAGTCAGAAAATGGAGAGCAGTTAATTTTTTGGTTTTGGAGGGGGGAGTGTGTGACTGATGGAGCTCAAAGAAGAACATCACTGTTGTGTCAGTAACCTGGACCCCAGTTCAGCGAGGATCTAAGTCCTAATTTCAGATCAACTCTAGTGACATCACAAAACTTCTAAAGTGCTCAAGACCGGCAAGATCCAACAGAACCTAGTTGTTCACTGTCTCTTGCTTACGATTACAAACTGATGCAGCCAAGAGTGGCTGTTTTTCTAAGCACAGCCAGATCGTATCTACAGAACAAACCCCAAACTTGTAAGCAAAACCATACGATGAACTGCAGCACTTCAAAGGGGATCCTAAAAGGTGAGAGTCTTTGTCTCCACGGATGCTCTTGTGCTTGGGCCCACAGAAATATCTGTGTACTGAGTACTGGAGTACTCAGAAGTTGTCAGAATACACCTGAAATTGTATGGCCTTTCTTTCTCTTCTGTAAATCAGGGGTACTGATGCTTTACAAGCTAAAAAAAAAGAGATGCATTTAATGTGTTGTTGAATTAACTTAATTTTCAAACAAGGAAACGCAGGAGAATGACTTAACCCTTTAGTAGATTAATTGTATTGGAGACTTAAGATGCCTAAGCAGTTCTGAAAATGCCATTTTTTCCCACCTTAATTCTTGGATGAGAATGTAGCTAGAAAATGACAGACATCTATACTCAACCTTTGTTACAGGATATTTTGTGCTTGCTTAGTTAATGTGTAACTTGTACATTAATAAAACAACATAATATCATTATATCTTTTCTTTCTCTGTCTTTTTAAAGGTAAATGATTTTTGAGAACTAGATAAAATACTTGAGACTTGGGGAAAAAAAGCTCTTTGGACATACAGTCAGTGCTATCAGGCAGCAGAGGGCACTGCCGGAACAAACAATAGGGTATATGGGGGAATATGGGGATTTTAAACAGCGGAGCAGTTGAGGTGAGCAGTACCTCCTTATTTCAATATGAACAGCACCGTGGATATTTTTTTCTACACAGAAGCGGCTGCTTTTGTTTGCTAATGCTGAGTGTGGGTCGCCTCTGTGTCAGCCCCTGTTTTATTCAGAATGCCCACGCACAAGGAGAAATCTCAGTGTGCTCTGGCTGCTACCTGGCATCTATCTGCAAATGAGCAGCTTTCCTTTAGCAGAATTAACCAGGTAAAGCCGTGTTACTGATAAAGTTATTCTGATTTAATTTATTTTTTACTGTTATCCTAACAAAGGATTAATTTGCGTTAGCAACAATTTTATACCATGATATTGCAAAGCAGCTCAGCTAAGTTTAGGGGCTTTCCACATTCAGTGCTGACATCTGATCATTATAGCAGCAATTCCAGCTCTAGAACTGTAAATCTGTGAACTATATGATAGCTCTGCCAGAATCTACAAAGTAAGAAATTTGTGCTAAAACGTTGAGCTTAAAAAGGAAAATTCTATAGCTTCTTTTTTCTATTAAAGTTGGAGTGTATGCTAGTATATTCAGGTTAGTGTGCAATTAGTAGTACACACTTATTATATACTAGAAATACTTTATGCAAATAAGTAATAGGTATTTCAGAGGGTCACAAGGAAGTGCAAAGAATGATTATGTAGAAATAAGGGCTGATTAATCAAGTCTGCTGATGTATTCATGTCCTGTAAAACATTCTTTTCAGAGTGTCACAGATAAACCATTCTTTGTGCACCCTATAATCCACCTCATACAGACTTGTCAACCATACCTTTAGTGTGAGGTTGCTGCTGAACAAGGGCTCTACTATTTCTGTCACCTTGTCAGTGCCAGTGCCACAAGTCAGCAAGTTCTTTTAATACCAGCGAGTACGTCAGCAGGTAACGTACAGCGCAGGTGAGCGTTGGTGAGGAATGGCAGAGGACACCAGACCAAGCCACGTGCACTCCTGAGCTCCTCTGGTTGTGTTTTCCATGGCTTTGCAAACTCAGGGAGGGGTTGAGCGCTGTGGTGAACAGCAGGCTATCCACAAAGTAAAACATCTTTAAAAATAGCCTAGTTACTGAGAAGAGTATATCCGTGAACTTGGACTCCAAAGTGCCCTAGATATTCCTGAAAATGCTGCTTGAAATTTCTCTAATTCGAAAATTTGGTGGTCAAGCATGGAACACTAAACAATATGAGATCAGAATGTAATTAAAAATAATATCAAGTGGTATAAATAGCTCTTCACAAAAGCTTTGTAATCTTATTTACCTAATATAATGGCATA